GGACCTCAGAACACGGCCAGAAATCCCATCAGGACCTGCTGCTTTCCTGACGTCCACTCGCTTTAGGGTCCTCCGAACCTCGTCCTCCGACACAGTGATTACATGATTATCGCTGCTCTGTCTGCAGCTTCCTGACGCGCTGATCGGCAGAGTCGCGCTGCCTCGATTGCATTCAAAGCGGCTGTAGAAAGAGTTTAACTCATCAGCCAGCGACGGGTCTGCGCTCACAGCTGCAGAGGATTTATTTCCAAAGGCACAGATGGTCCTCAGTCCCTGCCACATGCGTCGAGAGTCATTTAGCTGGAAATGAGACTCTATTCGTTCCCTGTATCGGAGTTTGGCGGCTCTTACCGCCCGTCGGAGATCATAGCACGATGCTTTGTACTCACTCATGTTCCCCGACGACAGACCGGCGTTGTATGCGGCAGTGCGTTTGTTTACTGCAGCACGGATTGTTCTGTCCACCCACGGTTTCTGATTTGAGAAGGTCCTTATAGTTTTTGTATCTGTTGCTTGTTCGGTTAGCGTGTTTACAAAGCTTAATGCTACATCCAGATGAACTCGCTTGGAACATGTCCCAGTCGACGTCATTAAGAGCCGCCTGTAGCATAGCTTCTGAGTGGCAGGACCAGCGCGTCACAACTCTCAGCACTGGGGGTTCTTGAACGAGCCTTTGTTTATATTCCGGTGTGAGGAAAATGGCGGCATGGTCCAATTTGCCAAAAGCCGGTAGTGAGCGAGCTTTATAGGCATTCTTCTACTGAGAGTAGCAATGATCCAGTGTATTTGGTCCTCTAGTTGGACAGGATATATGTTGATAAAAGTTCGGCATGACCTGCCTGAGGTTGGCTTTGTTAAAGTCCCCCGCGATGATAAAAGCAGCGTCAGGATGTTTGTTAATGTAACCGCTGAGCACATCGTGAAGCTTAGACAAAGCCAAGCTGGTGTCTGCCTGTGGTGGAATGTAAACAGCAGTAACGATGATAGATGAAAACTCCCGGGGCAGATAGAATGGGCGGCAAATAATGGATAAATGTTCCAGATGAGGCGAGCAGGAGCGCGACAGAGTGGAGATATTCCTGGGGTCACACCATTTCTTGTTAATCATGAAACACACTCCACCACCTTTGGATTTCCCGGCCTCGGCTGTTCTGTCCATCCTTAAAACAGAGAAGTTATCAGACGGCGTTACAGCAGTGTCCGGGACCAAGGTCGTTAGCCATGTTTCAGACAAACAAAGGATGTTACAGTCCCTGATGTCCCGTTGGAAACTTATCCTGGCTCTGAGATCGTCCACCTTATTCTCTAAGGATTGGACATTCGCAAGCAGAATGCTCGGCAGAGGAGGGCTGTGTGCTCTTTGCCTCAGTCTGTTGTGAATCCCAGCGCGCTTCCCGCGGTGTTTCTTAATCCGTCACCGCGGTGGGTTGTTCAGGTGGCCATTGTTCATCTCGGCGTTCCGGAGAATTTCAGATGGCCACGATGGGTTGGAGGATAAAGTGTCCTGAAACAGGTTAGTGTAGCGGTGTCCAATGTCCAAAAGTGTTCTTTTGTCGTAAGTGATCAGTGCAGACGATATGTGTGTAAAAAGAGAGAGCAAAAGAAAGTACAAAAGTAAATAAAAGCACAATCTAAGTGGAGCGACCTGGACGGCGTCCGAACTCAGCAGCGCCATCTTGGAAAAAAAAGAATTTAGCTACAATTGTGTGTGTGTGTTTTGTTGCTGTGACTTGGGAAGTTTAAGTGTGTGAAGTGTGTGTGTTTGCAATCAGTGTGTGTAGCACATATCACCCACGTTGCAGGTTCCTTTCCTCTTTCGTGTCCTCGTCGATACGTGGGAAGCGGACCTGACACGATGATCATCGTCGCGGGTGATGTGCTTCACACTGTCTCGAGCAGACTCCTGAAGTCCCTCTTCAGACCTTCAAAGCTATTAATCTGCTAGCATGTTTCCTTATTATTATTATTATTATTATCATTATGGTTTTTATTTTATATTTTACTGTGCATAACCAAAACTACTCACTTTACCCATTTTCATTACCGACCATGTAAGTCTGCATGAAGTCTCCACTGAACAACAGACAAGAGAAACAAACACCCTACAAGCACAGTACTGTTTCTAATTTTTATTTCTCAGGCCTAAACAGAGAGTAAATGTCTGATTTTTTTTTTTTGCACATAAGAATAAAAATACTCTCTCTGTTCCAGTTTTCTCACACTTTTGAACTGAGCACTTTTCTAACAATAGAGATTACATAGATTACATAACTGCAGGGCAAAAGTCTTCATTTGTAATTTATAATATACTAAAAATACAATATGTATCATGGCAAGCAAATGGTTGGGGTAATTAAATCGTCAAGGGAGGCAAAGAGAGGTCTTAATTAAGTTACGAAAACGGCATACGCTAGAGCCCCAGAGGAATTTCCAGTGGAGCTTGACATGCTGTGACTTATAATGTAATTATAGCTTTAATACCAAGCTAAAAACCAATGCAAACAAAATGCTTTCGCTTCTCTCACTGTTTAGTCACTTAGACCTGCGGTCATAACCTAACGTGATAAAGAAAGCTGTAATCTGGATAAATATGCGGAAAATCACAACTCAAAAAACATTGTTCAGTGTTAAAAACACGATCATGATTTTTGGCCAAATAGTTGTGGCAAATACTGTTTTCACTAGATTTATTCCTGCAGGAACATGTGCCACATGCAAAGTCAAAAAAATCTGTTTAAATAAGGTGGTAGTGATTATCATAACTTAATAATAGGCTAAAAACGATGTAGGAGCGTCTTTCTCATCACTATTGTGTGAACAAGGTTTAGTGCTTTAAGGAGGCTGACCTTACATTTAATGCACTCTAAGATGATTTAGATGGAAAAACATCTGCTAAATGGCATGCAATCTTGCACTGCTGCTGTAGGCAGAGAAGCACAAGAGAAGAGGGCATGAGTCAGCAGATCTCAGTCAGACCTTCATCTACAACAGCTTCACACCCACAGACCATATTTACTCAGTGTGTCACTCAATGTAGTTTTTTTTTTCTTTGTTACAAACAGAAATATATTAGAATATAAGTGAAGCCCAGAGTTCATGCAAGTCTAAGCAGTCAATGAAATCAGTATGATTATTCAGTACTGAATCTTCCTATTAAGCAATACTCTATACTGGTTAAAAGTTTGGAATAACACTTTAGTTTAGGGACAATTCTCACTATTAACTAGTTGTTTATTAATATGCATAGTACTAGCATATTGGCTGTTTATTAGTACTTATAAAGAACATATTAATGTCTTATTCTGCATGAACATTATTCAGAACCTTTAATCCTACCCCATACCTAAACTTAACAGCTACCTTACTAACTATTAGTAAGCAGCAAATTAGGGGTTTTCTGAGACAAAATGAATAGTAGTTAATAGTTAGTTAATAGTGAGAACTATTTCCCAAACTAAAGGGTGACCAAGATTTTTTATTGTTTTGGAAAACATCTCTTATGCTCACTGAAGCTGCATTTATTTGATTAAAAATACAGTAAAAACAGTAATGTTGTGAAATATTAAAATATAAAAACAATACTTTTTTTTAGCAGCCATTAATCCAGTTTTCAGTGTCACATGATCATTCCGAAATCATTCTAATATGCTGATTTGGTGCCCAAGTAACATTTCTTATCATGACTAAGGTAAAAAACAGTTAGTGCTGTTGAATATTCTTGTCAACCATGATGCTATTAAAAAGATTAATACTTTTATTCAGCAAGAACGTATTCAACTGATCAGACGTAACCTGGAAAAAATGTATCACAGTTTCCGCACAAATAATAGATAGCAAAAACTGTTTTCACTGTTGACATAATAACAAAAACCAGAACACCATTTATAATTGATAATAATTAAGCACCAAATCAATATATTAGAATGATTTCTGAATGCTCAAGTAGCACTGAAAACCGCAGTGACGGCTGCTGATAAGGATCAAGGATAAAGTTGTATTTTAAAATACATTAAAATAAAAAAAAGTTATTTTAAATTGTAATAGTAATTCTTCTGTAATAATAATGACTGAATCCACTTATTCGAAATGGCAGAGGAAGACATTATCCGAGCATATTGTTTGTGACCTTACGCTACTTTGCATTGTTCTTAGTAGATTGCGTTGGTCATCCTGTAAATGAGATGTTGTGTCTGCGTTCTTTACTGTAATTTGTGCATTGTCAATAGATCACCCCACTTTCCACTCACATTGGCGCTTTTTTGGAATTGCACTTTTGCACTAATTTGCCTTGTTTGGTAAATCTGGCCCTTGGTGAGTGAAAAGAGACTTCTTCATTATTCTGTCATGTAATTATATATATTTTTTTAAATCATGGCTGACCTGTTAAATACTCCAACTGATGCAGGAAATACATTTGAACAGAATCAGTTATTAATCTGTTGCCACCAGCAAGAAGCATTGACACAGTATTTGACGTAATCTCACCCCATGTCATCTATTAGCAAGGTGGGCAAGTGTTACGACTGTGATAAGCAGGAGTCGAATCAAAACACATCAGACTGCCATATAATCAAACAGAGGATGTCAGGGGTGGCAAATCAATATCCAGTTTCCAAAGTGACAGGAAAGTCTTTTTCTAATTATCTACAGGAACGGAAATGAAAAGACACCGACTTTAATCCAAAAGGTCATAAATTAATTAAAAAGTACCCTTTTATTTTTAGCTAAAATTGGATTGCACCAGTGTTTCTCAATTTTGTTCTAGCACATTTTGGAAGTCACTCATTTCAAAAGCATGTTATTATGCTTACACACACCACATGATGCCATAAAAATGTTGTAAAACACTATAGTTGCCCGACTATCCTGGGAAATGACTACATTTGCTTGCTTAGATTCAATTCGGTGTCGCTTCGACAGAATGCCACATTTACTTAAAGCTCTTGCGTAGATATAGTTTGTTGGCATGCCAACCAGCAGAGACCAGACGTGTGGGCCTGCAGCATTTCGTCAAGGTCATGAAAAACTTGGTGACATAGAAAATGAGTCTAATGGAGTGAGTCACAATGCACACAAATACACACTTATTCAGCACTTTAATCTTTTAAAATTGTTGGTTATAAAAATCCTGTTGTTTGTGTTTGCACTTCTGAGTGGAGCTCAGAAGGCAGAACGGTTCAACATGTAGATGTCAGCAGTCACAGGCTGTGAGGCTTACAGATATATATTATACTATAATTATGCTATTTAAATATTGTGCTGGCTTGTTCGAAAGCTTTTATTCTGACTAGCAGAAACATCCACAAGCTGATTTCGTTTTCATGGAACATTCAAATTGAGAAAAATATGATTATTTACATTTAATGTCAGCTTATGCAAATAATTGCTTCTTTGCTCTAAATAAAACATTTTCTTTCACATTAAGCAACAACAACAACAACAACAACAAAGAAGTTAATCATCATTTGACCTCATTTACTCATTAGGCACTTATTGTTCTGAAAATTGTAAGCTTTTAGTTAACAGCATTTA